GATTAAAGAAGGTTCATTGCATACAAAAACTTGTCATCGCTAGCTACTGTTCTTATTTCAAATAAAGTATTGTTATGTAACATATTAAAACTAAACAACCATTGAGATTACTGATAGTATACTTGTGAAGTTATTAAGAAAAGTAAGTTAATAATAATAAAAACAATAAGTTTAACAAAAACAGTTTAATACAATCACAATAATTATTAAAATATTCAGATGGATTTGTACAAAAAAATATGAATATATTTATATATATTGTTATTAATTATAGCTAATGAGTCATTTAAATTTTCAGTAAATTTATTTAAATTTAATAACATTTCAAGTAGGCGGAATCGAATTTAAGGGTGGTGTTAAAGGTAAAGATGTAATAGAATGTGATGGTGGTGTTAATGGTAATGTGACAGTTGAATTTAAAGGAGGTGTTAATGGTAAAACAATTATAGATTGTGAAGGTGGTGTTAATGGCATCAGTGCATTTGAATATGAAGGAGGTGTTAATGGTAAAACCATAGCGGGTTGCGATGGTGGTGTTAATGGTAATGATATAATTGAAGGTGCCGATGTAGTTGAAACACCAACAGAATTTGAATGCCTGTCGTTAGTAGAACGAGGAGTTGTAATTGACTTTCTAATTTCTTTGTTTTCTTCATTATTTGATCTATTCTTTTTAAATTCAACCAGATTTAAAGGTGGTCTAAAACTTCTTATTCTACCACCAAATCTAAGTTGACCTGATTGTTTTTCACCTCCAAAACCTCCACCTAAACAAAGGTAAGAAATAAATTACATAAATTATTTTGGTAAGAGAAATTAAAAAAAATATATATTGATATACCTAGTCTTCGAGGTTTCCATCCAGGTAGTAATCGTCCACATTCGAAATCCACAAATACCTCAGAATTCTTTAATACTAGTTTTTTACAAAGTACATAAGCATTCAATGCCATTTTAAATGTTTCATATTCTATAAAAGCATATCGTTTACTTAAACCAGTTATTATATCTTTAACCAGCCTTAAAGCTATCATTTTACCATACCGACAGAATTCCTAAAACAAAATAAAAAACAATTAATTGTTTAAGTTATATAACRTTTTCAATTAAATTGTATGAATTTAAACAGTTAGTGTAGTTTTTATTTGTATCTAAGTGTAGGTATAAATAAAATATAATATGGTAAATAAGCCCTCTTCCCCAAGAAAAAAAAAAAGAAAAAAAAGAATGATGATAATTTATTATTACCCAATAAAACAAAGTAAACAGTGTATTACCCATAAAACGATTAATATTAAAAATATTGTGTATAATGCAGTGGCGTCCCTAGACCCTTTCATAGGGGGGGGG